GCCTGAATTGCAAAGCCCTGCCTGTTTTTCAATTAAGCCCAACAATGTGTGACTTCTGGCCATGGAGGACGATTCCCACCCATGATCCCTGCTTACGGCAGAAGGAAGGTCTTCTCCAAGCCTCAATGACGACACCGGCGTCTTGGCAAGCGGTGGCATAGCTCTCGATGCTCTGGCAGAGGACGCGGGTGTCCCCGTCAGTGAGGCAAAGGTCGTGGAGACAGGCTTGGAAATACAGGGCTGGGTCGATGAGGTGGTGGCAGGAGTCAAAGGGGCCCTTTGGGACCGTGAGGATGCCACAGTAGTTGGGTTTCTGGAGGACCACCTTCTTCTCCTCCGTGCAGACGGGGCAGTCGTCCTTGGGGCAGTCATCACTGCAGGGCACATCAGGCGTTTTCCAGGCAGAGCCAAAGACCGTCGCGCTGGGGGCCTGTTGGCCACTGGGGAGAAGGAATTCATCATCACGTTGCCCGTTGTAGTTGCCACAGAGCCCACAGAGGTGGCCCTGGTAGCTCTGTGGGACCGTGACCGTCACGTGGTGGAGGAGGTCATAGCGTACGACGAGACCAAAGTCAGTCTGAAGCAGGACGCCCGTCCCGTGTTGGTGCACCTGGACCCGTCCTTCGCTCAGGATGGCCGGGAGGTGGTGGGATAAGGAGTCCACCTGGGATGGGGAGAGAGAAATCCTCCAGTGAGCCTCAAGGATGCTACAAGGAGAAGGCTGTGGAGGTAGGAGCAAAAAACATTGGGGGAAACACCTTCCAGCCAGCCTTTAAATGAATTTGTGGCTCCCACTTTGAAACCAGAAGGTGAAGGGGGGATGACCATGGCTTTGTCTTGGAGATAGGGGTGAGATCTCCCCTCCATCAGGGAAAAAACATTTTTGGGCGCCCATATTCACACCCAAAGAGAGGTGGACCACAAAACGTGGCTTTACTGTGACCGTGCAGCTCTTGCTTCACACCAGAGTCAGTGTGAGCCTGTAGACTTTGACACCAGCACGCTTGCAACCAAAAAGAGGTACAGCTGTGCTTCACAATCCACCACGACACGTCCCTTGTTGCCTCACACCAAGGCCAACATGAGCCTGTAGATGTCACCAAAATGTTTGCACTCAAAGAGGTGGACCACAAAGCACAGACTTACCGCGATGGTTCCCGTCTCGCCCGGTGTCAAGGTCAACATGAGCCCATAGACTTTGTCACCAGCCTGTTTGCGCCAGAAGGAGGTGGACCATGAAGTGCCGCCTTACCGTGACAGCTCCCCTCTTGCCTCGCGTCAAGGTCAACGTGAGTCCATAGACTTCAACGGACAACGCTTGGATGCCAGAGACCTTCCTCTTCTGCCGGGCCTCCTTGTTGATTTTCACAACGAAGGGTTTGACGTTGTCACCGGCACAGGTCTCAGTGAGGACATAAGAGCAGGTGCCCGAGATGTTCAAAGCCATCCCATCGAAGGACATGTAGCTGCGGTCACCGGTGGCCACGCAGGCCCCAAGCGTGGCAGATGGGCATTGGAAGACACCATCGATGACTTTGCCTTCGCTGCCTCCGGGGCAAGAAATTTTTTGGCAGCCCACAGTGCCTGGTGCCTGACACTGACATGTCTCCTGCTTGGTGGGGAAGAAGGTCTCCTCCAGCTTGTAGTAGAAGTCCTGATGGAGGCATCCGCACTGGGACAGGGGGACGCACTCGTCGCCGCTGAGCACGAAGCCGTCGTTGCACACGCAGCCCTCCCTGCACCTCTCCGAGCATTTCACCGGGGTGTGGACGCTGCTGCAGGTCTGCCTGCAGCCCTGAGAGCAGACCTCGTAGTGGCTGTTCGCAGGACACGGAATACCTGCCACGGGACATGGAGATGCGTTAGGAGCGAGGAAAGGACAGACCAGATCCCGCAACTTTCCTGCAATTAGGGACAGGGTTGTGCCCGATGAGGTTCACCAGATGTAGGGTTTTTTCCTACCCAATTGCTTCATGGCTAAGTCTCATCTCTTGCTCACTGTGGACATGAGGGAAGGGGTGTCCATGAGGGACATTTCAGCCCTCCCGAGGTTTTTGGCCTCTGAACCACCTGGTTTCCCCCATCATTCTGGGGGTAACAAGGATGTTCCCTCAAGCAACAGAATCCCTCCCACCTTGGGTCCCCGATCAACTTCCAGGGCAGGTCCCTCTGCCCTAATGCAGATACTGTTGGAGCACCTCATGTGTTTTGCCCTCGAAGCGATCCAGGCAATTGGGCCTCCCTCTCGTTTTAGCCGATGCAAAGGAATTGGTGTTTGTTTGGGCTAAATTATTCGACCCATCGTAGCTGGAGGAGACATCTTGTTCCCTGGAAGGGTTTGTTTCTGGGCATTGGCTGTAAACAGAGATGATGGGAGCAACCTAGTCTTTGGGTGGGGTAAAGCACCACTAAGCGAGATGATTCCCACCTCTGGTTTGTCCCCACATGGGTTTGGCCCAGAACCGGGGTTCTCTTGGGCGCTCATGACCCCTCACAAAGCAAAAAAACCCCTCCAATTAGCCCCACTTACTGCAGAAATCGTCCGTCCTCCATCTCGCGACGGTTGCGCCAGCAGCCTGGCAGGCAGCAGCGTAGCGGGTGATGATCGGGCATATTGCACCTTCCTGCTCAGGGAAGAGGCAAAAATCATGCACGCAGTTTTGGAAGTATTTGACGGCATCCACATGAGCATGGCAAGCTGCAAAGGGTCCGTCCACTTGTGGGATGATCCCACAACCCATCTTCGAGACCTCTTGGTGCTGCAGAGCTGCCGCCATGGCAGGACATTCCACCTTCGACAGCTCCACGCAACCCAGGGTGTCGGCCACCTTCCAGCTGTGCCCAAAGGTGTCTGGGTTTGATGTCACTTGGCCATTCTTCATCATCATCTCATCGCCCGCGTTCCCGTTGTAGTTCCCGCAGAGGCCACACACGGCGTTTGCGTAAGTGCTGGGCACTGACACGGTGACTTGGCTTTGCCAGTCGTAGGTGACAGTGAGGCCAAAGTCTGTCTCTACCACCGCTTCCTGCCCACCTCTGTAGATGGAGATCTTCCTGTCTCTGTGGTGATATGGCAAGTTGACCAACTGGTCATTGACCTGGGGGCGAAAGCAGAAGAAATAACAACGATTTGGTGTCCAACAGTAAAGGCAAATTGTGTTTTCACACCAGCTGCAATTTAGGCTCCAGCCAAAGCACCCAAAATATTTAGATGAAGACTTTTCAGATTTCATCATCTGCCCCAAGCACAGGTGCCCACCAGCTTGGCCGACAACCGTGCCTGAGGCTCCACAGCTTATATCACACACCGATCCTGCTTCAGGTGGGGGCAATTAAATCTCGTCTTCATTAATGTAGGGCAAACAGGGCTGGTAGCGCTGGATCTCAGCGGCGTGGTTGGAGAAAAATACTCAGCGTTACCCAATATAGAAAAAAAAAGAGAGGAGTGAGAGTGGAAGAGAAGAAACGGTAGAAGGAGGTTGGGGTGAGGAGCAGAAAGTGAAGAATGTGGAGATCAGATAAAGAAACACTTGCTATAATCACCATGATTTTGCCGGGGTGTTCCTGGCTGATCACAATGTTTTTGCCGTAGACTTTGACCGTCACCAGAGCGATGGAGGACAGAGGTTCGTCATTCTGGCGGCCGTTCTGCACCAGCACCTGGAAGTCCACCAGATCTTGGCTCTCCTTGCACAACCCAGCGAACTGGTAGGCGCACGTGCCCTGGAAGATGAACCTCCCGCCGTCGAAGGTCTCGTAGTGGGTGGCACCGACTGCTGCGCAGGTCCCATAGCTCCTGGGATAGCAATCCTGGATGCCTTCCTCCACCCGGCACTCCTCCCCAGCACGGCAGCTGGTCCATTGGCACACGGCCCTGCGGTATCTCGCATCGCAGATGCAGCGTTTGGTGCAGGTGCTGTCACCCCAAAACTCCTCCTGGAGGCCGTGGAGACGGCCCTCGAAGACGCAGCCGCACTCGCTCTGGGGGATGCACTCGTTGGCGTCGAACACGAAGCCCTCCTGGCACTTGCAGGTTTCCACGCAGGCCGAGGCGTCGCAGTCAGCGGGCATCGCGCCGTTGTTGCAGGTGGCGGGGCAGGCAGTGCCGCACGCGGTGTAATTGCTGTTCTTCGGGCAGGAGAGGGCTGTCGAAGGGATGGGACATCGTGGTCATGGTGGGATGGGACACGACAGTCGTGGTGGAGATAGTGCCCCTTGGCCGTAGGTGCATGCAGCAGGGTGCTAATAAAACTTGCATGGGCTTTCTGGAGTTTTACGTGTACTTTCTAGAGTCCCCATGGACTTCCTGGACCTTCTGCATGGACCTTCTGAATGCACTTTCTAGAGTCCCCATGGACTTCCTGGACTTTCTGGACTATCTACATGGACTTTGGGGAGTCTCTGTGGACTTCCTGGACCTCCAGCAGACACTTTTGGGACCTGGACTTTTTGGACTATCTACATAGGCTTTTGGGAATCTCCATGACTTTCTGGACCTTCTGCACAGACATTCTGGAGCCTGCGTGGACTCCCTGGACATTAGGCATGGGCGTGATTCTGGAGCCCGCATGGACTTTCAACAGAGACTTTATGGACTTTCTGCTTAGACTTTCGGGACTTGGACTTTCTGGACTTTCTATACAAACTTTTCTGCCTGGACTTTCTGGACTTTCTCCATCGAGTTTCTGGAGTGTCCATGGACTTTCTGGCCTTTCCTGCTTGGATTTGCTGCAATAACCTTTTCCAGCTGGTGAAGCTGCATGCTCGAGACCCACAGCCCTCAGGCCCAGCTTTGTGCAACTTAATTCAAAACGACCTGGCCCCACCTTGCTTGGGGGATCAACAGCGATAAGGAGAAAGAAACATCCCCGTCGATGTTTCTTTCCCTTTTATGCCTGTTTTCTCCTCATTCCCACCCCATTGCTCCTTAATTACACCCACCTTAATTAAGGTCACAGCACCCTGCCCACCCAGGGGGAGGATTTTCTGCCAGCCAGGAGCTACTCACGACAATGTGCCAGTGTCCTCCAGTCAGAAACGGTGATTCCCTCCTCTTGGCAGTCGTCTGCGTAGGCTTTGAGGGCTTGGCACAGCGCGGCGTGGAGCCCGTCGTTCACGCAGAGGTCGTAGATGCAGTTTTTCAGGTAGACGTTGGGGTCGATGGCGGCGTGGCAGCGCTCGAAGGGCCCCAGGCTTTGGGTGAGCAACCCGCACGATGTCTCGCCCTTGTACTTCACCGCCTCGTCCCATTGGCAACGTCCGCAGTCCCCGCTGCAGCTGTCCCAACAGCGATGGCTCTTGTTGGCCACCTTCCAGCTCCGGCCCAGCTCCACGGTGTCCCGCGCCAGGCTGCCGTCAGGCATGAGGGCGTCATCCTGGGGGTTGCCGTTGCTGTTGCCGCACATCCCGCAGACTTTGCCGGAGAGCATACCGGGGAGCTGCACCACCACGTGGTCATCCCAGTCGTAGAGGATCTTCAGCCTGAAGTCGGTTTTAATCAGCACGGACTTGCCCTTCTGCTGCAGGCGGAGTTTCCCTTGGGCGAGGGAGATGGGGAGGCGGGAACGATGGTTGTTCACCTGGAGGAGAGAAAAAAAACACGAAAGCCAAACAAATAACATCAAACATAGGGCAAAAAAGTGGAGGTTTTTTGAGCTTTGGGCTGTCCTCTTGCAAGAGAAGACTGTGCAGTAGCGCCGTCGACTCAAGCGTGGCAAATCATCGAATCATTTAGGTCAGAAAAGAGCCTTCAGATCATCATTAAACATGTTCTTCCAGCAAAATACCATAATATTGCTTTGGATTTGGTAATTATCTTTCTTGCATACCCTCACGATCCCGTTCTCGGACCTGACCACAGTGATGGTAATGTCATAGGCATGGACGGTCACGGAACCGACGTAGGAGACCTTCAGGTTACCCCTGTGTTCATTTTTGGCCTCGACGCTGAAGATGGGCAGGGTCGGATCTGGATCGCAGGTCTTGGTCAAGGTGTAGGTGCACGTGCCCATGAAATCAAAGACTTTCCCATCAAAGGTTTGGTAGTGGGGATCACCGGTGGCCCAGCAGGTTGAGTCGGTTCCTTGGATGCATGTGGGTTGCCCGTCCACCACCTCGCACCTCTCCTTGCAGCCCAGGTCTTCGCAGGAAAGCGGAGCAGAAGCTACAGAAAAAGGGAAGAAGCCATGGACGGCAACCATGGAGAAGACCTGGCCGCTGGCAAGACGCAACTGTGCCTCGGCCCTACTTACTCGTGGCACAAAGACCGGTGAAGCCATAACCGGCGTAATTCTGGAAGCCGAAGACCAGGAGCCCAAAGGGCGTCCGCTGGTGCTCGGCGCTCTGGATTTCTGCCGGCTTGCTCATGGTGACGGTGGCCCAGGAGAAGCCTGAGCCAGGAATCGCTCGCCAGGACATGGTTCTGTCTGTCTTCTGGTTGAGGGTGGTGGTGCTGGTGTCCGCACGTCGGGCGACGAGGACCAGGTGGTTCTCGTAGCCATCCAGGCTGCTGAGCCGGTAGGATGTGCAGTAGCTGGAGATGGGTAGGATGTTGAGCAGGAAGGGGTCTTGCCTAAGCGAGCCCTTCTTGGCACCGGTGAAGAAGAAAACCACCTGAACGGCAGCCGAAGCGCTCACGTAAAGAGGCGAATTTTGTCTAATCTCGAACTTGCGGACCTCCCCGGCCGCCATGTCCTCCGTGGCAGCCGAATCCCCCCTGGCGTAGGTGACGGAGGCTCTCTCGTCCGCCACCACGTAGGCAAAGTCGGTGTCCTTCTGCAGCGGGTTGGGGGGGACAACGTAGGCTCTCCCCCACGCAGCGACAGGCAGGAGCTGCTCAACCACGTAATCGCAGCCTGTGCGCATCTTCACGCAGCTATGTCCGCTGAAGACCGCGACAGCGTTGTCCGACGCGATCTTGGTGCCGGACAAATCGTAGTTGCTTTGCAGCTGGAAGCTGTGGTAGGGGTTCAAGAAGATGCGGAGGGTGGACCCAGGGGAGTAATTCCTCCCTCTGTAATAGAACCCGCCCTTGGCGTTGATGGAAATGGTGGCCGAAGTCTTGCCGGCCGCCACGACGAACTCCTTCAAGCCTTCCTTCGTGGTGCCCTCCGGCGTCACCACGTAGTATTTGTTGCCCAGCTTATCTACGGGCAGCACGGCGGTGGCACCGACGGTGTAGCTCTTGGAGTTGACGGACACCACGGAGATCTCCTTGGTGGACCGAATCACGACGGCTTTATCCGAAAGCCGGTTGCCGACAAGCTCCACGTTCCCAGGGACGTGGAGTGAAACCGTCTCGTCCTTCCCAAGGGTGACGGTGTCGGTGAAGGTGCCGCCGTGCATCGTCACCGTCACCTTGGTGGAGTTGAAGTAAGCCGTGAAGAGGAGGTGGATGTGGGGGCGGGTGCCTTCCTCGTCATTCTGCAGGAAGACGGTGAAGAATTCCTTGCCGCGGAAAGTGGCGGTGGAAAGACCTGGGAAAAGCAGGGAAAAAGGTTGTTGGTTTTTTTTCTGCAGAAATTATAGTAGAAATTTCTGAACACCCCCCCCCCCCAACAACACATCAAGAAATAAAGCTGCTTTTTTGGTGCAAAAACTTGCAATAGGGGGTTCTGCAAAAAGCAAGGAATGAGGGTTTTTGGCTGAGAAAAACAGCGGTAGAACGTGTGAAAAAATTAAAGCCCAGGGAATAACATTTTTCTGCAGCAGAACCGCACAGCGGTGAGTTCTGAAGGAGCGAGGAAATCAATTTCACTGCAGAAATTTCAGTTTCTGAAAATTAGAAATTAGGGAACAGGGCTGTGGTTTTTTTTTCTTGGAGAAACGTGCAGTTAGAAAGTCTTGAAAAATAAAAACGGGGAATAAAGGTGGTTTTGCTGCAGAAATTGCAATAGGGAGCGTGGAGCTTGGGGGGTTGTTGCTTTCTAAAGCGCATAATAAAAGGGTTTTATTGCAGAAATTGTAACAGAAAGGCCCAAATAAATAAAAATAGGAATAAGGGCGGTTGGCAGAAAACTGCAGAAAGTTCTGAGGGGAAAAAAAAGGAGAAAAAAAAAAAGGGGGTTTTTTTGGATGCAGAAATTGCAGTAGAAAGTCCTGAAAAAATCAAATTTTTTGTTTTTTTGCTGCAGAAGCTTGGAGTAAAAAGTCTTAAAAAACAGGTACTAAGGGCTTTTTTTGCTGAGGGAAATAAAAATAATAGTCTTGTGCTGGAGAAAAATGGGGAATATGGGTGTTATAAATGCCCAAACAGGATTCCAATTCAAATTTACAATTTATGAAGCGAATAGAGGCAAGCAACCATGCCCCCTTCTCCTGCTAGAGTCTTCTCCAATCTTCCTCGGCGTGCCCCCAGGATGACCCCAAACCCTATGCATGCACTTTCTTTACGCAATACTACGCGGTCAGTGGTCAAACTGGTTTGGGCTGATACACCAGCAAAGTGGTTTAACTTTCTCCTGTAAAATACCCCTTTTTATGGCGCAGGAGAAATCCATCAAAGCCCAGAAGGTGACACGTCACCACACGAATCACATGGACCTATTTCACATGGGCTTTTTCTGGAAATCAAATGAAGGGACTTCTGGTGAAAACAAAACAGATTTTAAGGGCTTTTTGATGAAAAATCCCTGGGCGGTACGGGCTTTCCTTTACAGAAAACCAAATAAACCCAATAAAAATGGTGATAAGGGATTTTAAAATATTATGTTTAAAATCTATTAAAATTA